GGCTGCAGTCCTGGGGCGAGGAGAAGTGCTGGCATAGCAGAGTTTGGGGCTGCTGTGGAGCAGGGAGACTCCTCACAGTTCCAGGGCAGAAAAGAGTGCTTGTGGTTACTCACAGACCAGAGCACAGGCCAGGAGAGTAGTAAACACACCACTCTTTAGATCATAACATCTTGGAACGACTGAAAACTTATGCGTCCCTAGAAGTATCTCTGAAAATAGTTACACAAAACCCTTGCAGTGTGGGACAGTGCACCCTTTACCCTGGAGGCAGAGCCCTACTTTAACAAAGAGTTAAAAGTTAAAAAAACAAAACAAAAAAAAAGACTGGAAAAATGAACAAACAGAAAAAAAAAATTCTGACCACAGAAAGCTAATACAGTGACAAGGAAGATCAAAACACACACTCAGAAGAACAAGGTCAAAGCTCCTACATCCAAAGCCTACAAGAAAAATATGAATTGGTCTCAGGCCATGGAAGAGCTCAAAAAAGGATCATGAAAAACAAGAGAAGTACAGGAAAAATTGGAAAGAAAAATGAGAGCGATGCAAGAAAATCATGAAAAACAAATCCAACAGCTTGGTAAAGGAGACACTCACACACACACAGAAACAGATACCACACACAATACTGAAGAAAATAACAACTTAAAAAACAGACTAGGTCAAATGGTAAAAGAGGTACAAAAGGTCAATGAGGAGAAGAATGCCTTAAAAAGCAGAATTGGCCAAATGGAAAGGGAGGTCCAAAAGCTCACCGAAGAAAATAATTCCTTAAAAATTAGAACGGAGCAAATGGAAGATAATGACTTTACGAGAAATTAAGAAACAAAACAAAAAAAAGACAAAAAAAAAAAAAAAAGAAAAAATAGAACACAACATGAAATATCTCATTAGAAAAACTGACCTAGAAAAGAGATGCAGGAGAAATAATTTAAAAATTATTGGACTACCTGAAAGCCATGATCAAAAAAAAAGAGGCTAGACATCACATTACAAGAAATTATCAAGGAAAATTGCCCTGATATTCTAGAACCAGAGAGTAAAATAGAATGTAAAAGAATCTACCAACCACCTCCTGAAATAGATCACAAAATGAATCTTCCAGGAACATTATAGACAAATTGCAGAGCTCCCAGGTCGAGGAGAAAATATTGCAAGCAGCCAGAAACAATTCAAGTATTGTGGAGCCACAGTCAGGATAACACAAGATTTAGCAACTTTTACATTAAAAGATCAGAGGGCTTGGAATATGATATTCCAGAGGGCAAAGGAGCTAAGGTTACAAGCAAGAATCACCTACCCGGCAAAACTGAGTATAACACTTGGGGGGATGGATATTCAATGAAATAGAGGTCTTTCAAGCATTTTTGATGAAAAGACCAAAGCTATATAGAAAATCTGACTTTCAAATATAAGACTCCAGGGAAGCATAAAAAAGGTAAACAGGAAAGGGAAGTCTTAAGACACTTAAGGTTAAATTGTTTACATTCCTACATGGGAAGATGATATTTCTGACTCATAAGAACTTTCTCATTAAGGCAGTTAGAAGGAGAATATATGGACAGAGGGCATAGGTATGAGTTGAATATGAAAGAATATCTAAAAAAAAAAAAATTAAGGGGTGAGAGATGAATGTACTTCAAGAAAAGGAAAGGGAGAGGTAGAACAAGATAAATTATCACATAAAAGAGGCAAGAAAATGCTTTTATAGTGGAGAAGGAAGGGTAGGGAGCTGAAAGTAAGTGAATGACCTTTACTTTTATCAGAATTAGCTCAAAGAGGGAATAACATACACACTCAACTGATAGAAATCTATCTAAACCTACAGGAAAGTAGGAGAGAAGGAGGATGATAGAAGAGAGGGCAGACTGGGGGAAGGGGTAGTCAGAAGCAAAACACTTTAAAAGGAAAGAGAACAGAATAAAAAGTGGAGGGGAGTAGGATGGAGGGAAATAGTAATAGTAACTGTGTAAAAAATTTTGAAGCAAGTTTCTCTGATAAAGACCTCATTTCTCAAATATATAGAGTACTGAGTCAAATTTGTAAAAATAAGAGACATTCCACAATCGATAAATGATCAGAAAATATTAAGTTTTCAGATGAAGTAATCAAAGCTATCTATAGGTATATAAAAAAAATGCTCTAACTCACTATTGTTGGAAAAATGTAAATTAAAACAATTCTGAGGTACTACCTCATACCTGTTAGATTGGTTACTAAGACAGAAAAGGAAAATGACCAAGATTGAGAGGATATGGGGAAAAATGAGACATTAATGCATTGTTGGTGGAGATGTGGACTGATCCAACCGTTCTGTAGAGCAATTTGGAATTATGCCCAAGGGCTATAAAACCATGTAAACCTGTGACCTAGTAATAGCACTACTAGGTCTGTATCTCAAAAGAGATAAAAAAACAAAAAGGAAAAGGACCTATACGTACAAAAAATATTTATAGCAGTTCTTTTCTGGTGGCGAAGAATTGGAAATTGAGGGGGAATGGCTGGACAAATTGTGGTATGCGATTATGATGGAATACTATTGTGCTATAAGAAATGATGAGCAGGATGCTCTCTGAAAAACCTGGAAAGACTTACATGGGCTGATGCAAAGTGAAATGTACTGTGTAGAAAGTAACAGCAATATTGTAAGATGATCAGCTGTGAATGACTTAGCTATTCTCAGCAATACAACGATTCAAGACAACTCTGAAGGAATTATGATGAAAAATGCTATCCATCCCCAGAGAAAGAACTGACGGTGTCTGAATGGAGATTGAAGTATACTTTTTTAAATTTTATTTTTACTTGGTTTTTTTCTTTTTTGCAATATGTCTAACACATTCAAGATTCCTTGAAAGAGACACAGAGAGAACCTTAGCTGACAGCCATAAGGTGAGGCATAAACTTAGACACAAATACTTGCCAAAAGGGCTGGTCACAGTCAATGAGCAGCTGCAGCACGCTGTCCAAGGCTAATTCCCTAAGGAGAGCAAGGTCCTCTGAATGCGCCTATTTGGAGACGTGTAGCCCAGAACAAGACGTGCCTAACCATGAACAAATATGGACAGAATCGTCCAAGTTGAGTAAGCATGGATTGACTAGAACCTGCGTCCCTGGAGAGAACGCCCCCGTCAATGCCATCACAATGAAAATCTGGATGTTCCCATCTCTAGTTGCTCTCATTACCCGCAGTTTGTCTATTTGTACAGAGATACCGGAGGTCGCTACTGGTCAGTTGGGTTTCCTTGGTCATTCTTGCATGTGTAGGTCCTTCCAGCTATTAGCCTTTCTGGGCAACAGTCTTCCTAATGTGGACACGACATATTAAAAAAACCCTGATCTGGGATTAAAGGCAATATTGTCCAGGCTTGCAGGAAAGCCAGAACCCACCATTTCCAAATGCGTCTTGCTTTAGGGTGATGGTGGAGCATAAACAAACCTCTTGTCATAAGTTCTATAGAGTATATTGTTCATTTTGATCACAATTGTAATTTGTTTATTCTAAAACAGTGAAGTTGGCAGAAACCCCAGCTGTAATATTCTAGAAATAAGAAAAATATGATCTATAGTAATGTGCTTCTTTCATTTGCTATTCCAAAGTAGTTTTCCATGAATACTACTATTACTCACTATTAATTTGTCACGATTACAACTTTATAAATACAAAAACCCTCTTACTACAGTTACATAGCTGTATTTGCCCAAGGTCAAAAATGCCTGAAGAGAATCATATCCAGTAACTATTCTGCTTGTTTAGTGATTAGGCTATAATGAGTTCAACCACAACCATCAGATTTAGTAAAAATCAGGAAAAAATACTACTAATTTGACATATTCCTCACTAAAGTCATAAGGCAGTAGGAACTATGTTTACAACTAACAGCTACAGTAGATTGAGTGAGACGTGATTGACTTTTCCCTCCTCTCAAGATTTTCATTTCCCCACAGCTTAGCCTGTCAGAGGGTAGTCAGCAAGTTAACCTTAATGGCACACCCATTAATCTTAGCCCACACTTAAAGCCAGCACCGGTTTTGACAACGAATGCTGCCCCCTGCCTCCCAGCTTTCACAATCATCTGACCCTTCCCGTGTGCTGACCTCTTTGGGGTCCACCTTTCAGGTAATACTGCTTTGGTGCCAAATAAAAAATGTTTTTATGAACCTGCTGCCTGTCCCACTACCCTTGGGACCAGCCCCAACCAGCTTAGCGTATATATACTGAAACAACTATTGCCCAGGTGACCTGTAAATACTTCAGGGCCACAGCTTTAGAGCGGGAAGGGGCCTTAGACATCATCTGTTCCATACCGTTATTTTACAAATGAGTCAAGGGGCTCAGCAGGGAAACCAGAAATTTAAGGTCACAAAGCTGCTGAAAGTGCAAAGTGCTAGTCCAAGCCAAGCCCTCAAATCAAGGGCATCCGCCACTTAGGGAGGAAACAGAGAAATCCATTTTATAATTTAAAAGGATTCCACTCGAAAGACTCTCATCATCCCAGCTGTGGCGTTACCTCCAAAAAAAGAAATGGCCAACGTTCTGTGCAGCCGCACGTCTGGATCCCCCAGTGAAGATGCTGGGCCTGGTCATGCTGACCACAGCAGAGCAGCCAGGCTCCTGACGATAACTATGGCCATGCTGGCTCATTACTGGTCATTCTGAAATCCTTCTTTCTTCTCAAAACCCAAACCAAAAAGACCTAGGCACAAAGGGGCAGATTAAGATGAGCTGTCTGTCACGAATGACTCATCAGCCTTTGTGAACCTGGAGCTGAGGACAAAGATAATGAATTCATTTCTCACATTAACACTCAGGAGCGATAATCTTTTAAAAAAAGGAAAAATCATGTAATATAAATGCTAAATAAAATTCCACTATCAAAATCATACCAAATTGCACCCTAACTTTTATTTAGTGATACTGTCTGGTTGTGTGCTAACAGAATTTAAAACATACTTAAACTCATAACTAAATTTTATGGTTTAAAAAAAAAAAAGCTAAATTAAATAAAAGAATATCTTTTTATTATACATACAATTTCAAAGGCACTTTGCTAATACTGAGATTTATAAAGCTATATTCACATATTTATATATACCCCAAAACAAAGCACTTTTTAAAAATTAGAATATACACATACCTTAACTTTCACAAGAAATTCCTCCCCCCTCCAGAAAAGCTGCACACAAATTAAACTTCTTTAAATGAAAACCTGTTTTAAAATAAGACATGATGAAAAATAATCCTATGATCAATCCTTCCATAAAGTGAAGAATACTTTAGGAAATCTAGTTTTACCCTATTCTATCTACCTATCAAGTTTTCTTAATGCAAGGCCTAACTTGAAGACCATAGCTAGGGCAGCTAGGAGGCACAGTGGTTAGAGTACTGGGCCTGGAGTCAAGAGGCCCTGGGATTTGAACTCTGGGTGACCCTGAACAAGAACCCTGGCTTCTCTGAGCCTCAGTTTTCTCCCTCCCTCTCAGGGCTGTTGTGACGGGCACAGGAGATAACTAATACACTTTGCACCATGCCTGGCACACTGCGACAAGCACTATAGAAAGGGGAGCCATTGTCATTATTATTATTTGCCCCCAAATGAGGGCAATCATGGGAGTAAAGTTAAATTCCCTCAAGATTACAAGGAGGGACACCCACTCTTTGGCCGGCCCACCACCATGTAGCCCTTGAGGAGACTGGCCATACTTTTTGTCCCCTGCCATGCTGATCAAAGGGAATGGGGAAAGTCAGCCTCCCCTAACTGTGCCTCTCCCTTGGACACTGACAGCTCCCAAAGTGGGTTTCAATCCTCCTTGCCTCAGAGACCCCGGGCTCAGGAACAGCCCAGACATGATACTCAGCACCCACATCTTTGGCAAAGAGACTGGAACTCGACCCTGGATTCTGGGAGTCGTTTTTTAGTCTCTGGAACATTAAAATGTTCATGCGCAACCATTTCTTTCTCTTTCCAGACCGATGGGAGCGTCCTCAGGCCATTCCTCTGGCCTCCCCTCTGCCTGGAGAGGGCTCACTCCTTTTCCTTTTTCTTCTTCTTTTTCGGTCTCGGCTCTTGGGGGCCCTCCGGACCCTCAGGCTCATCGCTGTGCTTTTTTCTCTTTCTTTTCTTCTTCTGGTGGTCGCTCTGGTAGCCGCTTGAGTCGCTGGCGTGCCACAGGGAGTCCTGCTCCAGCTCTTCTCGGTGGTGCTTCCGCTCCTCACACAGTCCGTTCACAGCCTCGTGGGCCTGGGGGCTGGTCTCTGCTGCCCCAGCCACATCTGAAGGCACTGCAGCCGGTGTGGGACCACAGTGCTCAGGGGGCTGCTTCAGGCTCTTTCTGCTCTTCTTTGGCTTCTCTGCCCCTGCTCCAGGCTCGGCCTCATTGCCAACGTCCCCAGACCCTTTGGAAAGTGCAGGCGGCAAGCTGCGGAGAATAGGACAGAGGTTAGTGAGAACGCAGGGATGCCCTGGGGAGAGACGCACGGGGGGTGTGCAGAGAAGAGCTGAGGCACGGAGTGTGGGCACCTGCCCTGGGCCTCACTCAGGGCCAACACTGGCCTCTTCTAGTTCCCCTCTACTCCAGCTACTTTAATGCAGCAAACACACCCACCACCAACCAGATGACAGCCCTCCAATGCCTTCCAGCCACCTTGAAGTGCCCTGGATAACATGTTTGAAGGTTATTATTGTTACTGGGGAGGTGGCCTGCCCCGGTGGCATAAGACAAAGGGAGGGACACAGGACTGCTCCTGACCCAACCATCCACATGTCCAGTAGTCCCAATTCCCCTTCTTTCCTCCCTTCCAATTCAGATCCACCACTTTCCCCAAGAAAGGAGTCTCTCTGAGAGACTCCAAAAAGTAAGATGGGGGGCACAAGGCAGGGTGGGTTTGGTTTTCAGTCAGAGGAAAATTCAAATTCACTCTGACCATCATGACCAGAGAGGCTTTAGACTTGTCTCCTAATCCTGGGGGGTCTCTACAACAAGGAACATTTATGAACTGTGTACTACATGCAGGTTCTCATGCTAGTAATGAGCGTCCTGGGTCGACCAAGACAAAAAGAAAACGAGGCCTTGGTTTCCTGACTCTAAATGAAGGCTTTGGACAATTCCATCTCTGAAGGCCACGTAGAGCAGTAACCTGAGGGTTCTATAATATGCCACCCCAGGAAAGAGTTTTTCCCTTAAACTACAACATATTATATAAGTTCAAAGCTAAAATACATTTTCTAACCATGAGAATAAAATAATCTTCAGAGAAGCAACCTCATGTCCATGTTATAGGCAAGTGTTAGATCTGGAGTCAAGAGAATGCTGGTTCAAATCCCAGCTCTTTCCCACCTGGATGAGCTCATGCAAGTCCCTTCACCTGGGTGGGCTACAGTTTCCTTAACTGCAAACTAAATTCATAACCTTAGGATGATTAAAATTTAAATTACACCAACAAAGACTTTAAAAAACAGGTTTTTTGTTTAGTCAAAAAGAAAAAGCAGCTAAAAAAAGGAAAAATGAAAATTGATCCCATGCGATAACCTTGGCCCTTTATGGAATGAGCCTCCAGCCTCCCCGCCCCTCCCCTCTAGGATTCCCCTTTGCATCAATCACATTCTACATTTCCAAAACTGCACACCTGACTGGCAGACCTCATGCAGATGAACCCACCTGCTGACACTGAGCTTTCCTCTAATGCAGAAGACGCCCGCAGCATCGGAGTCTAGGCGGGACACTTCAAACTCCAGCTCATCTCCCACGTGGAAATGCAGGCTCTGCCACTGCTCCATGGGCATGTGCTCCGGCTTGGGGATGGAGGCATTGAAACATCCGTGCACCAAGCAGCCCAGGTGGCTGGGGGCCACCTTATTGACCGTACCCTACAGCGAGAAGAGCATGGGGCTGTGAGGAGAGCCCTTGGGGCACAGGGTGAACCACACTGAGCGGCACTGACAGCTTCAGGAAGAAACATCTACCCAAAGAGGGAGAAATCATACCTCGACTAAAGCTCACCCCCAGTCAGACCAGCACAGGGTGGTCTTGATAAATGAAAATTTTAGTGAAGTGGGAGATTTCCTCCCAGCAACAAAAACCAACTTCTACAACTATTCCTAAACGCTCAAGAAAGGAACGTCAAGGAAGGAAGAAAGAAAGATTCCCTTAGAGAGCAGACTACTGCCTCCCCCAATGAAACCACCTAGAAAATATTCAGGGACGATGTGGCCAGCTCCTGATAGAAGCTTATGCAGGGCAGGAAACATATGTTTCCCATAACAAAGATCAGCGATGAATTTCCATAAATAAAACTAATTTCAAAGTTTACAAAGCCTTCTTTAATGAATCAGTTTGGCAGGACACAAAGAGTAGTGACTGTTTGAAGACTGCATGGCCATTATGTGTAAGACATCCCACACTTAAATCTTGAATGTGTTCATTTTAGCCAGCTGTCCACAAAGCTAAACCCGTTCTCCAGCTTTAAAATAATATTTAAGCATGTTCTCTTTCATTTTAAAGCTTTACAAAGACCCTTCCCAGAAAGCCCCTCCTCCTAAAGAGGAGTTGGGGTGGGGTTGGGGGTAGTGGAGAAAAGTGGGGGCAGAACAGTTAGGGATTCTTCGGTATGGGGGACACTGTAGAGAAAGAGACACGGCATGGGGTGAGGGCACAGCAGCATCAGCTCAGCGGGTGATGGGGAGGTGTGAGATGGCTGACACCCAACCATGAGGCCTTGGAGGCAAAGAGGCTTGTTCTCATCTGTAAGACAGGGAGAACAGTTGGGAACCCCTCCCAGCAGGAGGCTCTGGTGCTGTATGTGCGCCAGTCACCCGTATCACTATTAAGGGTGAAATCTTCTTGGTCAGCGATAAGGGACGGGGAGTCACCGTAGGCGTGAGGCCAGGGGACTGACAAGACTGGACCTCCGTACTCCAACCAGGCATAAACACTGACTGGGGAGAAGAAACAAACCCCAGTGGGGAGACCAGCCCGGAAGCTCTGGCCCTGCCAACACCCACCTCTGGACATCGGCCAGAACAGAAAGAAGGCAAGAGATGCCAGAGATGTGGCCGAGGAGAAGAGCCAGGCCTGGCAACCACCTGGAAATGGGAGCGAGGAAGGCTCCGGGGGAAGGGGCACCAGGAATCCGAGGCAACATGTCCCCCAATGGGCCAATGGCCCACTCCCCAATGACTCTCTAACCCAGGTGCCAAACATGTGCAGCCTGAACCAGGTGAGCATGCCCACTGGGAAACGTCAAACCAAAGGAATAAAAAACCAACCAGACACAGGCAATGTTGGGATGAAAGAGTTTCTAGGTCAGTTCTGTGGCAGCTGTGCCTCCAGTCTGTCCCAAGCAGCCCCATTCTCTTTGTCACCTCTGGGGTTTGGGGCCTCACCATCTGGCTCCAGCCCCCCTTTCCAGGCTCCCTGAGCTCTGGTCCAAATCAGCCTTGTGCCCACACCTCCCCCATGCCGTCCCACCTCCACGGTGTGACCTCTGCCGTGGTCCTTCCTGATCTTCCTACTGATCTTCCAGCCTCACCAGCCACCCCACCCTCGGGAATGAGGTGTCTATGTTCACCTGGGGCTGGCTTCTTCTGGGTCTTTTAGCCAGTATTCTGCACAGTGGCTGACACATAGGAGGTGTTTACCAGATGTTTGTTGGTAAAATGGGTACAAGTTTACAGGAAGAGGAGCTCAGTTGTGGGACAGTCTAGCAGCCCGCCTGAGAGTGGAGCTGTTGTGGCCTGAGAGGTTGAGACCTCTCAAAGGCAGAGTACAGGAAGGGGTCATCTGGAATGAATTCACAGACTCAAGCATTCTTTAAGTCAAGGTGGCAAAAATTTATTATTACGTTTTTCAGCGGGCAAGAATTCTTAAGGAACCTGCAAGAGACTGAGGATGGAACTAGGGTTTATATGGAAAAGGGCATAGGAAAGGAATGCCGGGAATATTGATTAGGTAATCCAAAGGTCCTGGCATCTTTGAGAGCTATGGATGGGAAAGTACAGTAAGTATACCAGACAGGGAGGGAGATGACAGAGGCATGGATCTTGGGAGGCTGGCAGGAGGAAGAGTCCCAAGGACAAAACTCCTTGGCCTGGGCAAGGCACCCTTCTCCCTCTGTCCTGATGAGAGAATGCTCTGCAACAAGGGAAAGCTTCCTCACCAGACAGGAGCTTACTAAGGCATTAGGAGGCTTCCAGAGACATGATCTGAGGGCTGGGGTCTGAGCAGCCCAGCACTGTCTCACCCAGCCTTGTGTAGCTGCACCAGGGAGGGAGAGAGGTAAGGGTCGTGCTGGGGCCCCGCATGAGTAATCGCTAGGCACAGTGTCCTTGGGCTGGGGAGCGGTTGTCAGAGACAGTGTTTCTGAGACCAGGGGGAACTTGGGGTCCAAATACAAGCACAAGCAGCAAAGCACCCCGTCAGAGCGACGGCAAGGGGTCTCAGCGCTCAGAAGAGCAGTGACTACGGCAGGGTGAGCAGCCCCTCCGTGACTCAGAGCTGGGGGGTTCTGGGGGCGGGGTCCCAGCCCGGAAATAGGGGCAGAAGGGTAAGTGGCCTCCTCCTAGGCACCTTTCTGCCCGGCCTGCCCTCAGATCACACGTGCGGGACCCCCGCTGCCACCCTCGGTTTCCCCATCTGTAAAATGGAGAGCAGCGGGGGTGCTGAGGATGCTCAGTCCCTTCCAGCCCTAAATCACCGAGCCTGGGAAAAGCCCTGCCTCCCCTCGTGACTGTGACCACTCTCCTCGGAAACAGCGCCCAAAGCCCCTGCCCCCCACTGGGCCCGAGCGGGCGCCGCGGTGGGCGGCAGACAGGCTGGCCCAGGCAGGCCCCCCCCCCACCCCGGCCTCGCACTTACCACGAGCTTCTGGCCCTTCTCGGGGCAGAACAGAACGAAGTCGGCCTCGATGTCGAGGTGCACGTGGCCCTGGTCGTCGTAGATGTCGCCCAGCTCGCCCACGATCTTGAGGTTGTCGTAGGCCACGGGCACGCCGCGCAGGCTGGGGGGAGGGGAAGGGTCAGTGACCAGGCCCGTGGAGGGCGCCCCCTCCCCGCCCCAGACCCTCCTCCAGGCTGGGCGCCGCCCCGCCCCCCTCCCCCGCCCGTGGGCCGGGCCCTCCCGGGGCACGCAGCGGAGCCAGCCTGGGCGCCCCCGCCCTCCCCGCGCCGCCGGCGCACGCGGCCCCACCTCTCCGAGTAGCGCAGCAGCTCCCCGTCCAGCTGCTCGCGGAGGCCGCTCCGCTTGCGGCCCAGGAAGCGCGGGGCCAGCGCCACGTGACGCCGGTGCGGCCCCACGCGCAGGCACGAGCCGGGCTTCACGAGCGCGCGGGCGGTCGCGAAGGTGGGCAGCTGCAGGCCCGAACCGGGGCCCGAGGCCGCGGCCCCCGCCGCCGCCGCCGCCATGCTTCCGCCGACTCTAGACCCGTTTCCTCCTCCGCCAGGCCCGACGCGGGCCAGTGACGTCGACAATCCGCGCCGCGCCTGCGCGCAACGCCGGCGTGAGCCGCCGACGCCCGCCGCTCGCTGCCGGGTCACGAGGAGCTGGAGGGACGCGGCGGCGGGGCGGACATCCGGCCGCCAGGGGGAGCCCACGTACCGCGGAGCCGAAGACAAACACGAGCATGCGCGAGGAGGCGTGGCGGCGCCCCTCCTCCCCTCCCCTCTCCCCTTTCCTCCCCTCCCCTCTCCCCTCTCCTCCCCCTCCTGGTGTCACGTGCGCGGGCTCGGAGGGCCTGGGACAAGTGGGGCGGGGCGGCTGGGTGCGGGCTCCTCTTAGGGATGCTGCGGGCACGTGGCCCTGCCGGCTCCTAAATGCGTTCCTTGATTCAGGCTCGTCCGACTTTTTCTTGGCGGAGACGCTGGAGGGGTTGGCCAGTTCCTTCTCCAGCTCATTTTACAGATGAGGAAACTGAGGCCGCCGGGGTGAAGTGACCCGCCCAGGGTCACCCAGCTGGTTAAGTGTGTCAGGCTCGATGTGAGCTAAGATGAGGTTTCCTGACTCCAGGCCGGGCCGTGAGCCCCGTAGCAGTGTGCTAAATACACACTTACAGTACACTGTGTAATATGTATTTAATATCTTTAATGATATTTGCATATCACATTTGCATTTTATCAGTATGCAGTACGGTATGTAAGCCTTTTTAATACCGGATGCCTCTGTTTTGCAGCAGTGTGTGTATGTCACGTAGACACACTGTGATCTCCGAAGAGTCGCGATTCCCTGCGTCACGAGGGAGTCGAAGTAAAGGGTTTTCTGCAGATCCTTTCTGACTCTCCAAGACCCCCTAGTCGGGCGGGCCTGTGATTCCGGGTGACGCCAAGGGTAAGCAAAAGAAACGTGCCGGGGATCCCTTGTGCCCGAGAAGCGGAGTGAACGCACAAGCCCTCAAGGCCGTCTGTGCCCCACCGAGGCCCGGGCTCAGTATGGATCGAGAGCCAAGGATGTCAGATGGATGGCGAATGTGGTGCGCCGGGGGCCGCGGAGTGGGAGGGCCGGGATTGGAGGTAGAAGAGATGGACTGGAATCCTGCCTCTTCCCTTCCCTCCCCACACCATCCTGGGCTGCATGAAGATGGGCAGAGCGTCCAGGAGAAAGGAGACGATCTCCCTGCTGCCCTGCGCCCCACGCACATCACGGGCAGAGGCCAGACTCACCCCTTGGTGCCGCAGTGAAGGAAGAACCTTGATGAGCTGGTGAGCCCCCAGAGGAGGGCGACCAGAACTGTGAACGGCCTTGAGGAAGATCCCTTGTAGGAAAGACTGAGGTTTAGCCTGGAGAAGAGAGGAGTCGGGAATGCAGGATAGTTCTCTTCAAGTATTCAAAGAGAGGAAAGGGTTTCTAGAGGAGGAGACTCACTGTTCTGCTTGGCCCCCGAGGGCAGAGCTGGGAGCAGTGCTGGAAGGTGCAGAGTCAACCTGAGGCTTGATGTTAGGATGGGAGAACAAACCTCGGGTGAAATGAGGAGAGGAGCTTGAAAAATCAGGGGCTGCACCTCACTGAACGTCTGGGAGCAGTGCCTAGATGCTCGGTCATCGGGGGTGTTAAAGGGGGATGTCTGGACAGCCGAGAAGGCCCGGGCCACTTCTCACACTGTGTGGCTCTGAGAGGTCACTTGCTGTCTCTGGGCCTCAGCTAGGAATAAATGATCACGGAGAGCCCTCCCGGCCCTACATCTATTAACTCTTCTGTAGGAAGGAAACTAGGTGGTGAAGTGGACAGAGTGCTGGAACTGGACTCGGGACAGACCTTAGTTCTGTGGGCTCCAAAATTGTCCAACCTGCAAGAAAACCCACTGAGGCAGAGCTCTGAGCCAATGGCACCTGGCCCCCTCCAATTAAGTGGACCTCAGATCTTCCTCACCCTCTGAGATGCACCCTTCCTGCTGGGCCTTAGCTTTATAGTGCTTGATCCTCAGACAGTACAGGTGAAGCAACTGAAAATACAGAATCTCATTGATAGACCTTGCCCTTGACCCTCCAGGAGGGTCTACACAAAATACAGAATCCCATTGGTTGACAAATGGCTAGTGAGCAGACCTCAACAGCCCTATCTTCAGGAGGTTCTACCGACCTGATGAGCAGAGCCATGGGCTGGGATGACATGGGCCAATGGGCTGGTAGAGAGGCAGGCTGCAGGCTGGCAACCAGGGTCACTCGTTGGCCAAGGGCTCATGGTCATCTTCCCATGTTGGGCAACAGAGTGGTGACAAGGGACGGAGGGTCAACGAAAATAGCTGGGGCTTCCCATATAATCCAGTCACCTCTGCCACTCCGGGCTTGGTCACCATAACAAGGCAAAACCAAGGGAGAGGTCCTCTACCTTCCTATGATCAAGCAAATAAACTTATAATTTAGTTCACAGCTCTGAGGCCTGATATCAGAATAGAATTACCACCCCTATGGAATCATACAAACTGATTAGTACTGATTGGAGTAAAATAGGGGTCCAATAAAATAGGGTCCAATTGATCATTTATCACAGTTCAAACCCAGCCTCAGACAATTACCAGCTGTGTGACCCTGAGCAAGGCACTGCCAAGGTTGCCTCATCTCTAAAACGGGGTAAAATGGGATAGACCTACATCACAGGATTGGTGGGAAGATAAGGTGAGATATTTGTAAAGTGCTTAGCAAACCTTAAAATGGCTTCGGAAATGCTCATTGTCATTAACGTTCACAACAAAATATATTTTTCTTCAGTCATACATGAAAGGCAAATGTGTGTGCTTCATAAAGCCGTCACCAGATGGCACCCGTGAGCTTTAAATATGTGACAGGCCTTTTTACAGACTCATTGGACTAAAAATCAATCAGAACCCTAAGAAAATGAAGCAAATACCCTCACCACTCATTATCTTTTTTAAATTACCATGATAACTTCTTCCAAAAGACCTTAGGATTTTCAGACACAAAAACCCCACAAGTCACCTTGGATGGACAGTCAAACTGCTTCATTACCAGACCACACCCCACCGTCTCACAAACCCTGATTTAAAAAGAAAGAAAGAAAGAAAATTTAGGAAAAAAAAAAGATTTGACCAGGCGTTAAGGCAGGGAAATCCTCAATAAATTAAGCAACATTTTCTTGAATGTAATAGATTTAACATTTTGCAGACCCTCCTTACTGCTGAAAATGCATGGACCTGTAACAAACAGAATTGGACATGAAACATTGGTCACCATAACAAGGCAAAACCAATTGGACATTATTCATGAAAGAATAGAAAAAAAAAATGTGGCCTTGGGTTTTCATCCGAGATCTAATGTTTACTCCCTATGGGACCCTGACAAGTTACCACTTTCCAAGGCATCAGTTTCCTCATGGGATATTTTAACTAGATGACATTTGATGTTGTTTCTGTCTCCAGAGCACTGGTTCTCAAAGTATTGCCCATGAATCCCTAAGGGTCCCCAAGGCTCTTCCAGAGGGACTGCCTGGTCACAACTATTTTTGTACTAATACCAGGATGTTTTAATTTCTGATAAGGTAAATATCAATAGGTACAACTAACATAAACAGTGCTCTTTATGGTGGGGGCGGAGAGTTCCTCAATAATTTTTAAGAGTGTAAAGGGGTCCTGAGACTAAAAGGTTTGAGAAAGGTTGGTCTGGAGCTCTGATCATCTGACTTCTGTCTGCAGTTTGCTGACTGTATAACCTTAGGAAATCTCTTGGCCTCTCTGGCACTCCATTTGCTCATCTATAAAAAGAAGAAGCTGGATGAAACAATCTCTAAAGTCCATGGCCTAGCTTGTAAAGCAAAGAAGATCTGACTAAGTCACTGCCCCATCCCCATCCAGCACACCCTCATGGCTCCCGTCACCTCTAGGATCAGATACAAATTCCTATTTGGCCTTCAGAGCCCTTGGCAGCCTGGCCTTCTCCTCCCCCTGCAGTCTCCCTTTACCGTACCCATCACCATGCTCTCTGGCCTCCTGGCCATCACTCACACACCGAGCTCCATCTCCAGACTCCCAGTGTTCTCACTGTGGGTCCTCCTTGTTGCTGCCTCCCGGCTCTCTCAGCTTCTTGCGAGCGACAATTTAAATCCCGTCTTCCACAAGGAGCCTCAGCTGATTCCCTTCTAATGCTGGCTTTCCCTCTGCTGATTATCTCCAATTTATCTTATCTGGAGCTTGCTTGTACCCAGTGGTTGCCATATTGTCTGTCCCATTACACTGTGAGTTCCCAAGGTCAGGTACTGTCTTTCGTCTTTTTTTTTGTCCCTGGCACTTAGTAAATGCTTACTGACTAACTGCCAATTAAATTATCCAGTCAAATACAAAAACCAATTCTAGGCACGAACTCCCACAAAAGTCATAGCTTTTATTGAATTTCTTTTTAGTCTTTGCTGGAGAGAGTTGGCCTTTCTCCACCATTCAATTCAAATTAAATCATTTCAAGTCAAGAAGCAGTTCTTAAGTACCTACTATGTGTAAGTCAGGGAGAAGGAGTTCTAGGCTCCCCTTCAACTATTCCTAACTGTGTCCCTATGGGCACAGACAGCTCTCTGAGAACCTCATCAAGTTTCAGCCTTCATCTGGGGAAAGTGTCCACTAATTCATGGCATTCATTTTGGGACATGTGCCAGACACTCTGCTCTGTTACAGAGATAGAAAATCCCAAGTGAACCAAAGTCTCTGTGCTTAAAGAGGTTATATTCCAAGGATTCTGTATTCACCAGATTTATGGGCAGCTTGATATATTGGGTAGAGAATTGATTTCAATGCCAGGGAGACCTGGATTCAAAGTGCTCCTCTGACAACTGGTGGCTGTGTGACCCTAGGTAAATCATTTAACCTCTTAGCGTCCCAGGCACAGTAGATAAAAAGATGAGGTTGGAGTCAGGAAGGCCTGAGGTCAAATCCAGCCTCAGAGATTCACTAGCTACTGGGAAAGTCACT